AGAGGGTACACTTAAGCTGGAAATCGCCTGCCAAAATAGAGAGAGAGGAAACAAAGGAGCGCGGAACAATGTGGCATGACAAGCCGCTCCATGGACAATATATCCCGGATATCGACGGGAAGGGGGAGAATAGTGACTCTGGGATGGTTTCCTTAAGAAGGAGACCAAAGGTTTGGTCCTAGCAGTCGAAGTACAGTCCTCTTAGGGATTCCTTAGACTAGGGCAATTCAAACCAAAGTAGATACGACAACCGAGTATTGGAAGTGCAGATTGTGCAAATAACCGCCGATCACCTAATCAATGCCTGCAGAATGATTGCACATACACATTACAAATATGTCACGGCGTTACCACTTCGTATCAAAACAGAGTCGATTTTGTTCTCCTCTGGAATCTGTGCCGAAAGTATTATTTAATAACAATTTATCAGTTGTCCAAAGGAAACACAAGCTTAACAAGATAGGAAATCGTACAATGGAAGCAACAAGCTTAACAAATACCTAGTACGAATATTCTCTGGAATTTCGATAGACATCTGTAAAACTATAAGAGCGAGATATATTCAACGTTGGGGAGTAGTAGATTTGGGAAGTGAACGCGCCATCTTAGCAGATTCCGGCATAGAAGAAAAAATGTTGAAAAAAATCTAGCTGAAAAATTAATGTGTTTTAGTTTGACACATTTTCGCGGTACGATTAAGAACCATTCGTCTTCGATAGAATGCCTAGAATGTTTGAGGTGCGCATTGTACAAGTCAAATTGTTATGTCCCTACCAGCATAGCACAGAGGATTCACGAGTGCAAACATTTAACAAAGACTTCGATATTTGAAACGTATTGATATCTGACTGATTCCAAAGTGATCCTATAGCTGCTGCCTTGTGTTTTCAGATTATTAAATGAGTTATCAAGAAGAAATTATGGGGTCCAGTGTCTCTGGAACCTTTGCGAATCAAAATGTGTTCTCTGACACATACACGTATTAAGCATTCGTAGGTGTAATATAAAAAAGAATAACGATATAATTAAATGATATCAACATACATAAAATCAGTTGATAAAATGTGGTCATCCAGATGATATGCTCATTAATGCTAATGTATTAAGACGGTGTTTATTTATAAACTTATTTAATGTGTTTGAAACAAAATGACTGGATGTTTTATTTTTAGAATCGCAAAAAATTAGAAAACTAAAATACAGCGAGTGTTTGAATTTGTGTCTTTTTAATTCCACTTCGTATCAAAACATAGCAGTCACTCGAGATGTAATGTTACTTTATGAACATAACGTTGAACGCTTGACGCGCATTATTTACTGAGAAACTGGCACTTGTGTGCAAGAAATGCGGTGTCGGTATGTTTCCGCATCATTCGTGTTGCAGTTCTTCGACGTAACAGCAGCATTTTTTCACGCTAGTACTCGCAGTAAATTGATTATGTTTTATTTGTTTTTTGTGTCCAGCAAACTGTTGGGGTGTTATGATGTATTTAATATCTTCTTTGTTGGCACTATTACTACTATTTTTGGAGCTAGCTGAAGCTATTTTCCTTAAGTAATATTAGTGCGTAGTACCAGGGTAGTTGCAATTGTTAATCGTCGGCTCTCTGTGGCTCAAATCACGAATAAAAAAGCATCACATTTCATTTATAAATTCTATACAACTAAACTTACCTATACAACTGAATTTTGAAATAAAGATACTATTAGTTCCTAATTAATGCCCGAAACCTGTGATGGAAATGTTAAACGTTTTGACCACTTCATTTATTCTGAAATAAAACAAATTAAAACCTTTTAAACGCATAAAAATGCAAACATACGTAAATTTTATTTTATTTCAAGGTAGTGATTATTTTCCTTTACAATCTTACAAAACTCTCGTAGCTATATGTCCTCATAATTCAACGTAATATATAGTTTGTGAGTTAGAAAAGAATCCCTGAGCACAACAAAACGTGCACAGATTGCACTTTTCTCCCATACTTCATCTCACACAGTTTTAAACTGTTTTTCGCGTTAAATAAAGTTAAAAACAAAACTTTTGGCTGGATTATGTAGGATAACGGCACACTAGAACCCACAAACAACACTTGTACTTTTCTTCTAAATTGTATCGTGTAAATATTCAGGTTATAGACTGTTATCAATCGTTATTTCGTCACTCTAGGAGGGATATTAGAGAGGAGATTGAGAAAGAGAAGATCGCGCGGATTGATTTCTTTCTCTTCCGTTCAACTTTACCTGAGGAAAGCACAGAAAACATTGTCACACCGATAAGTGAAAAATGGAACTACAATTTTCTACCAGACTGTGTCAACATTCTACCCAAAAATGAGCTTGTGAAACACGAGAAGGAAATTACATTGTTTTTAATATATATAAGTAACCATTTTATTGTGACATTCAAGGTAATAATTGACAATCGCAAACATGAGCTTAATACACGTATTTTATTTGCAACTTTGTGTAGAATATAACCTAAATAGCGTGCATCTCCAAGCTAGGTCTTCACGATACCCGTGCATGTGTTCAAAGAGAAACGCTGCGAGGCGGCTCCTCGCAAAGCATATATGGAGAAGTAATGTGATTACCTCCCTCGTCGGTTCAGTGTGCCGGACCGCAAGGCCCCGGCTGCCACCCGACCATGGCCTCACACACACACCTTCCGAGCGACATATCGGCGCCTCGTCGATTCCTGCCCGCCACGTCACACCTTCGCTCTGGTGAAATGTCTCCGTCACAACGCGTCTGTTTGTCAGTACTTGGTGCGACAGCCCGCGAACGGGCCAGGGCCTACCCGCAGCGTCCCGACTTCACGTCACATCTCCGAATTTCCGTCACATTCGGCAGGTCACTTTCTTATAAACATGAAATTTCTGAATATATGTTCATTAGCTCAAATCTATCACTTTTGCCCCTTCTACATGCCATACAAATTTTTAATATTTATTCTGTGTCCACCTTCATTGATTATTAACGAGCGGGAGGGCGAGTGTATAATTACTAATAAGGCAATATGATCTTTTAGCCACGAGCAGTATACATCTTATCCATTCGTCTTTTTAACATTTTGACATTTTATAACTATATCTCTGTATAATTAATGAACTAGATTGACTTCGGCAGTTTCTTAGTATATGACTTCGGCAGGTCGGTTTGCGGCTCCACAAAATGAAACTAACTAAATCATCAATTCGAACTGCGCGACCAGAAGCAATGAATGAACTCAACATTTTAAAGAATTAACATTTTAGTTGTAAAACTCTATAGTATAAGTCATGATACTAAGAATAGAATTTGCAAAGGACCATTAAGGTATGCAGCTATCTAAATCACAAGACATTGTTTAAATTATTTATTTATAGTCGCTTTACAACTGCTCTGGTCATGAGAAATCACTCTAATTTCCTTTTATTTACAATAATTTCAGTTATTAATTAGTCATTACTTTAATTATCAAATAATTATTAGTCGTTAGCTATTCTTTAATTCTTCTAATTAATCAATCATTAATTTACAATTATATTAATATAATTAATTTACAGTTTACAAGACATTAGTTCACACTGAAGATATGCTAAAAATAATTCCAATTTTTTAAATTTATTTATTTATTTTTAAATAAAATCTGCTTTTCTCCACGCAATTCAACAGAGAGTCTGGAGTATTTTTCTAACGGGAGCATCCGGACACTGTTGTTAGAATTTCAATTACATTTGGATCGCATATTATACAGAAGGAGTTATTCTTTTCACGATCATTGCTAGGATTCTACTAATGAGTGAATGAGTATTTCGCGTTTCCGGGCGCGTCAACTACTTCGGCTATTAGTCGCAGGAGTACAATGCTTGTGGGGCTATAGCCGGTAGATCGTGATGTTCGTCTCAATCTGTAACGGGCCAAAAAACGGCTGATCTACAATCGGCCAAAACGTTGACGTGCTGTTTTTCTCCACCATGTATCACTCCCAATGAGGCAACGCGAGGTAAGCTCTGAGCTTCCGAGATTTGTGATAGTTTAGTGCTTGCAAGTGTGTCTGTGTGTATGTAAAAGCAGAGGAAGATGGCCCGTTTGTTAGAGTACTGCTCCGGCACTCGCCTGGTACTGCTCGTAGAAACCACGGAAAACATACCGATCAGAGCAGCTGGCCACTGGAATTACCCAGCTGAATTCGACCTAGGTATGTAGTTAGTGTCGAAAACTCGCCACCGATAGGATCCGGACTCTAAGGCCTACCGATTCGACACACTGCACCGGCAATAGATTTTACTTGCTTTCTAAATACTTTAATAAAATAATACTTAGAATAAATACTTTCTTGTAAAAGTACGTGAAGATCCCGGAAGGAGCTATGCTCCGGTCGCAAAAACGTCTAACTGAATCTGGGGTCTAGAACCGTCCTTCACAATTTCGTGAGCATGTTAGGACTGAATTCCTTGGGATAGGTTCTCTTTGCGCGAACTGTCACGCTGGCCTCTGGCAGTAGCACTGCTCGTTGCTGCGCCTCCGCTTTGCACGAGTCTCTAACGGGCAAGAGGCGAGAGGTAAGGGGCGAGATGGCAGCGTCGTTTCGCGCCACTCGCACATCGCCGCTCGGCCCGCGGCCGCACCACATGGCCTTGCGGGGCACACGCGCCTCCCACCGCCAGAGGCACTCCCGCGCCGCGCCGCGCCGCGCCGCGCCGGGCCTCCACGCCACATTAGCCGGCGCGGTGGCGCCCGCGGCGGGGGCGGCGCGGGACTGGGGGCGGCCGCCACGCGTGGGTGGCGCTACGTCCGCAGTTCCGTTACGCCGAGCGCCACCGCCTCCACCGACGTCGCCGCCGCTTCACACTCGACCGGATCACGGGGAAGTAGGTCGCCGGCGCGGAGCGGCCGCTGATTCCGGTGCCGCCCGCACGTCCGTACCTCCGACCCGCCCCCGCCTCCGCCCCCTCCCCCGTCCCAGACACTCCGCAAATACAATCCGCGGCCTTATTTGTTTACATGTAAACTCCATGGAAATGTGCCCGGTGAGGCTGCGGGGAAGCTATTTGCATTCAAGAACGCAAGTACGGTTAGCAAGTAAAGTACGAAAGGAAAACGGTCAAAATACCAAGATTTAAATGAATCCAAAAGATAAAGAAACATGAAAGAGATTACAAAAACGAAAGACATGGTACAAGGTTCAACATACAATAGTGCTTTTAAAAAGTATGAATATGTGAATTATATTTTAAGGAAATGCGGTAAAAGACAATCTTATTTTATCTAAAAAGTACTTTTTTTACTTCTATGTCCTGATTATTGACACGTGTGTCGATCACTCGACCCAAGATGGTTATCATGCTACTAATTTCGAACAGCAGAGTAAAATGAATACTCGCTTATGGAAAAAAAAAATATTTTTATCATATTCACTGTAAGAATTTTTCACGCAAAGTTTTACAGCTGAAATGTGAAGACAGTGATAAACAAAAGTTTTATATTTTACTTATTTCCTGTAAATATGCATTGTTGAATACTTACTCAGTCCCTATCAATTTTATTATCTCATCACTACTTGTGTTACTATTATTGGTTTGGGTCAGTAGTTAACCAGAAGGAAATAGTAATATCGCGCCCAATTATCTCCTCTATTTAACTACATGTAAATAATGTGCTATACAATATTATTTTTCACAATTTATATGCTTTATTTGTGTAAAGAAAAGTATTGAATGAAGTATGTTAGGTTTTTGTGTGTCTGTGGAGGGGTGATTTAATTTGATTTATTTATCGTCAAAAATAGTGAAAATTGTAAATGACATGTGGGGTAGAAGCATAATCCGCTTACGTTTTCTGGGGCTCCAGAATCCATATCCTACCCTTTTTCTTAACAAACTAGATTAATGATGAATGAAGATACAGACTAGAGCCGTACAAAATGCATTCTATTAACAATCGTTCTAGCTGGCTTACATTTAAAGTCTGGTAGGGCGAGCGCGCTCCTTATCTACCTTTGAAATACGTATACACGTAGGTCTCTGTCAAGAATCGGATCATTCTCGGCTCTTCTCGGTAGCATCCGTAAAGAGTGTTCTGTATCCAGTTAACTGGTAGTTTCAGGGTGATATGATAAGCACCATAAGCTCTCCTATAATAAGCATCTTGAGTATAATTTGTAATAACGGCTATAAATAAGGTGTAAACTAGGATCAACTTCAATATATTTTGCATTATTTAAAGATTTAATTTTTAATAACATGTTTCATTAAGAAAAAATCTCCCTTTCAATATGTCAGTTTTAAGAAGACCCCGAAAATATTTTTGCAAATCTTGAAATTGAAGTGTTCAACAAAAATGGGACCTTGCGCCGTTTTATAGACGTACTTTGCTGTATTAAAAAAAGAGTAAGAAAGAATTTGAAGCCGTTGATCAGAATTTTTTGTTTTTAAAATCTTATTAAATCACGCATAATTTTGTGAAAATTACTCATATTTTTTTAAAATTATATATGATCTTAGTCAAGATTTCGCGAAGAAAAAATACTTATCTTCAATAATTTAGAAAGGGGTACATGATTTTATTTAAAGCTCTAATTTTGAAAAACAAATTTTATTTTAAGGAAAAAATCTATCATCAGTATCGTAATTGAAGAACCCCCAAAAATTACACTTTTTCAATTTTCAGAAATACGGTGAGTTAAACGAAAATGAGCCTTGGACAATTTTTATAAGCTTATTTTGCTCTTTCCGAAAAGAAAAAAACTGGAGCCATGTTTTAGAAACTTGTGGAAATATTGTTTAGGCATCGTGAAAAGCTCCTTGGAAAATCAAAATATTTGTTTTATATTAACATATTCTCGAATTCGAGCCGTTCGATTAGGTAATGTCAATTGTGGAGAAAATCGTCTGAACGGTTTAAGCGCTAGTGTTTTCCATGGCCGGACGGAAAGACGGAAGGACGGAAAGACGGAGGGATGGAAAGCCGAAGGGACAGAAAGACGGACGGGGCGGACGGACAGGCGGACGAACAGATGGGCGGAAAGAAAGACGGAAGGGCGGACGAACGCAAGGACGGACAGATGAAAAATCGAACAGACGGGCGGGCGAAAAGATGGACGGCGCATGGATGTAAAGACGGACGGACAAACAATTTTTTGAAAGTTCAATATCAACCCACAAAATGTGGATTCTGAATGCACACCGTCTTAGAGGGAGTAATTTACTACATGTACCTAGCAGCTAGAATGATCTATTTTGCGGTATTAGGAACTCACAAAACGAGCCTTACTGTCGTAATGTCGCCACTTTCCGTAGCAGCACTACAATGCTTTCTGTTCTCTGCGTAAATACATAGTAGGAGAGAAAGTAAAAATCATTTAAAACAGATTTTTTTTAAAAGACATAAGTTCTGAGCTCACGCAGATTCAATTGCACTACCATGCAAAGGATTACAACGTGTCTTGCGTGACTGCCCATTGAAAGTAGACTGAAGAATTTGTTTATGATATTGAATTGAAATGATTGAGCGTTAATCGGTGTGAAGACCGGTGACGCCTGCAGCATTCGATATCCTTCGTTGCTTTTTCGTCAGCCGCCTCGGAGGGCCCACCCCGATCGGTATTGTTCGTTCTCGATAATGGTAGTGTCGGAAGTAACATTCTCGGACATAGCGGTCACGGGGAGCTGGTCTCGCCACCCACAATGTTTGGAATCGAACAAGTTTGTGTCAGACACTAGTACCAACAAAGCGTGGTTAGTAATACTTGCAGATTTAGAAATATTCGCTCCCATGGAATTGAAATCTATTTGCACCGGCAAACGGACAACAAATTTTATTTTATAGTATTGGAAAAATAATAACAACTAACAACTCCGGCCCTACTCCTATCACAAATAGCAAAAGGAAAAGTCAACAAAAAGTGAGCATAGGGAAGCCACATTTATAAACATCCATCGACGCTCTTGGCATTTTGTAAGAGTTGTTGCGTCTTCACTCAGTTCGTTTCCAGTCACCACAATAAAACAAATTTGTCTGGCACACTTCATTAAGATTTAAACACAAAATGACTGATGGGGAAAACTTTTCACTCGTGCCCCCAACATATGAGTGGCTTCACTCGTCTGTTGTCTGAAGATAACAGAGTTGTATCAAACACATATCAGCTATCTTTCGTTTTACAAGCGTGGTAGCAGACGTGATAACGTACTCCTGAGTCACCCACGATCGTTTTGGCTCTAAGTACACGTAAACATACTTTCCATAATATTTCCCAATTCTTCAGAAACTTCCATTCGTATTCGTAATATCTTTCCGGCTATGTCAGCCGTTTACATTATTGCGCTGCTTGTGAATGTTCCCAACAATGGGTTTGCGGAATATTAATGTTTGGAATTGTATTTCTAATGTGAATAAAAAGAATGATGCGTCGATCAGTAGGAAGGAAAAAATACTCACGTAATCGGTAGCATCTAATGGTAATAGACGATAGCCGGTGTCATTTGAAACAAGGTAACGTAAATATTTGGTTTCGTCTTTGAGCATGTTGTATTATGGATAGCGTTAGAACAAATTGACCCTTAAATGAATGCAAGTGATTTTTGTTTCATATTATCCAGAGACACCACTTCCAATCGCATATGAACTTAATTGAAGTAACTTTTAACGGTTATAAACAGGGCTTGATATCTGGCGGAACGGCGTTCTGGTACCACGCAAATAATTATTAAATTATGTTATAAATATAGAAGTATTTCTACTAAATTAATAATTTAGGGCGCGTTCCAGAACCTAAAAGTTTACAAATCAAGCACTGGTACTCATAAATGATATAATATTCCAGATAGTTTTACAATATTAACAATCAAATTATTTTCATCGGAACTTATTTTATAGGCTCAAAGTATTTGTAGTAGAAAATACTACAAGTATATATTAAAGTACCGTTATACGTTTAGTTTTCAAAATATTTATCATTTAAAAAATAGAAATTGAAATAATTTTGTGAATTTTTGTATTTACCATAAAGTTATTTAAAAATTGTTTCTAATAAAAAGTATTTCATGAAGTTACTGAACTAAGATACAATTTTCAATATTATATTACGTATCCGTTACAAGTAATATGACTATGTGCTGATTTAGCACCACTAGTTTAGAATGGGATCACTGTGAAGTTGCTTACCACATAGAAAAGTAACATAGTAAAGTAGTAACGAACCAACGTCAATCGCCGCGGATCATTGGGTTCTCTGGAAACAGATTGAAATAAATACTCACGTTTCTCGTTGTTTGCCAATACCAAGTAAATTAACTTTACACTGGACCAACAAACCGAGTAGTAAAGAGGACTTATTAAAAATATGAATCATGTAGGGTACGAAATGGAAACCCAATCCAAAAATGCAAGTAAACAATGTCCTAGAATACATTTTCGGGTTTGACATTGATCCAACATTGTTTATACCACCAGTTCAGCTGGCTCAGGGATGTCACTGCAGTCCTCGGATGGGAGATCCTAATATTCGAGCCCTGACGGTGGCTGGATTTTTGACACTAGCTAGATAGCTAGATCGAATTTAACCGCTATGCTGGGAGAAGAATTCTAGCGGTCGGCTGTTCTGGTGCGGTAGTTTTCCGTGGTTTCTTTAATTAACACCAGACGAATACCGGAGCAGTTCCCTAACAAACGGGCCACGGACCGCGTGCGATATTTCCTTTTCTGCCTTGTTCCATCCTCCCCCCTTACATACACACACACTTACATACACTACACTATCACATGTACAGAGATACCAATATGAAGCTTGTGCCGGCTGGGGCGGTATCCCGCAGGGGAAGATACCTGGTTTGAGAAACCTCTCAAGCCGGCGTCTAAGTCAGCGCCGGATATTGCCATCAAGAAAGAAGTTCACCGCCATCTCTTGCGATGAAACCATGCCCTTCACTTACGGAACTAATGATCTTAGCGATTGACGCGCCCAGAAACACTAATCAATCAATAAATACATGAATGAATTAAGACAGTAAAAACATCGTAAAACGAATAAATGTTTTATTAATGTATTTGTGTACATTGTGTTAGTGTAAATTATTTCAAATATTTATTTTTTCTTTTTCAGATCTGGGAACTACAATCATGACACAGGAGACTGTGCATTGAGCGATATGGACAGATTCACTGTGACTGGTCTGAACAGTCTAGTCCCTGAAAAGAGTGTAGATTATATTGAGTCAAACTGTGTAAGCGACCCGATCAAAATGTGTGATTTTAGTGCTGTAAGAGGCAAAATTTTAAAAACAGTTGATGCAGTATATGAAGACGTGAAGAGTATTGAAGAATGCCGTAAACTCTGCATCCAGTCTAAAGAATTTCGTTGTCATACATTTGATTACGGTGATGCAGGAAGCAAAGTTTGCCGACTCTCGCACCATGCGGTATCAAGTCTCCAACATGTAGAAGAACCTTATCTTGATCTAGAGGGAGCCACAACACATCAGTTAACATCATGTTACAATGTGACAATAAATTGTCGTGCTTCAGATATGGTGGCCCGTGTTCAGACAAACAAAGTGTTCAACGGGAAAGTTTATGCAAAAAATAGACCTAATTCATGTGTAGCAGATGTTGTCAACAGTTTAGAGTTTGATCTGCGGTTGGGTTATCATGATTTGAACTGTGATGTGAAACAAGATTCTCATGGAAGATACAGCACGGAAATTATAATTCAGGTACGTTTTTGACATATCACATCTAGTATACAAAAAATATGAATACTAATGTTTCTAACTATATAACGTTTCGTCATCTATTTACAACTCCTATAACATCTGAATGACTCACGATATTTAAATGCAGTTGTCCCTTTCGCAATGCAGAATTATGTGACAAGGAATGTTCCCTAGAGCTGAATTGTCAGTTATTTTGAAATGAATGTGTGTAGTGTTATCACTAGAAATTCAGGCATTTGTTTTACCAATAATACGCCGGCAAAATAATTTATTTTTAGTAAAATAAGCATGAGAAAAAGCATTCCTTCAGGCTAAAATAGTGGTGCAAAATGGCATGTAAAGGAAATGACATAATTAAAATGACATAACTTTTTATTTCAACTAAAATTGACATCATCTTCCGTAGGTCGTAGGTACCGAAAAATTGGTTGACAGCAAAACGTCTGTCTGCCCGTCCATCTATGTATGTCTGCTCGCTCGCCCGCCCACCCGTCTGTCTGCATGTCTGCCTTCTTGTGTGTCTGCCTGCCTGCCTGTCTGACTACATACCGACCCGCCTGCATGCCTGTCTGTGTGTGTGTCCGCCCGTCCGTGTGTTGTTAACGCAAGCGCCTCAACCGTTCAGACGATTTTCTCCAAAATTGATAATCCCCTGGCCGAACTCGATATTTTGCGAATTTGATGCGAATATTTTGATTTTTGGGGGCGTTTTCCAAGAAACATCAACATTTTCAATTTTTTTTCAAAAATGGTTCAATTTTTTTATTTAATTTTTTGCTCGGGTAGGCCAATGAGAGTTTAAAAAATTGCCAACCTTTCATTTTTGTTCTTCTGAATTTTCTAAATTTCCCAATTTAGAAAAGTTTTCAGCCTCCTCTTACAACTACAATGAAAAAGATGGAGAATTGTTTGTATAATATTATTTTTCAAATACACAATTTAAAATAAGTTTAGGTACAAATCTTCAAAAATATCAGTAGTTTTTCGTAATTTTCCGTGAATTATTAGGCATTCTTAAACAATTACTTTCTCGACAACGGCTCAAGATTTTTCTTTATTTTTTATTCACGGATAAAGCAGATCACGCTTAAAAATGGTGCAGTTTCCATTTTCAGCAAACGACCTGTGAAAATTTCAAAAAATAAAAGTAAACATTACACACAACAATGTTGATGATAGAGATTTCCCTTTATGAAATCTGTTTTAAAAAATTAGAATTCTAAAAAACGTCTTGGACGATCTTTTGAAAAACCATGTAGCTTTGCGTAATATCTGATTGAATTTAATGCAATTAATTTTTAAAAAATGTATCTCAAAAACGGTTCCAAGTTTGCTCCTAAATGTTTTCAATAGAGCAATGTGCGCATAAAAATGGCACAGACGCTGATCTCATTTTCGTTAAACTCTCTGAAATTTTTAAAAAATGAAAAAGTTGGTGTCGATGAAAGAAATCCAAAAGTCCTGACTCGTATGAACTTTCTCTCTCTTTTAGATTTTTAATTCTTCCTGCACCTGTACCCTCTGCTTGCAGAGAAATAAAAGTAAGAGACAGTGCCTTCGAGTTGTTTAGGTTTGTATGTATATGTTCAGCTTGATCGATATCTGTGCCAGAAGGAAAAGGGGGAAAATGACGAAAAAGGAAGGAAAGCACAAAATATTGCAAATTATTAAAAATAAGCATCAAAAGATAAAATAGACAAAAACGGTGAAATTAAAATCTATAGCAACTCCAGAAGTACTACATTTAAATTATTTATATTGTTAAAAGTCATAAAATTGCAACTATACTAAAAACGCATTTTACTAAACTTCCTGGCTCTAGGCATGGCATTCAATGAATAAATTATAAAAGAAAAAATATAATAATACATAATTAGTTAATGTTTGAGAAATAATATTGGGTTAAAAATAACATATTTTTCAATAGCCACGAGATCTGAATTAACTTGAAGTACTGGCGTTCATCCTTTTAGTTGCACTGAAACGAGCCGTCGCGACAGGTGAAGTTCGCCGCGTTTGGGGCACGTGTCCGTGTCCTTGTTTAGGTGAGATCGTAGTGGCCATTACAGAACGCACAACTCGCCAGCCTTCCTGCAGTTTGTTTTAAGATTTCCTTCACTTATCGGTCAAAGGCCGCATGATAAAATTCGTTCAATAGCTTTTATCGAACATTATTCTGCAAATGAACATGGTACACCATTATTATCCTTTTCTAAAAACTATTTATCACTAGAAACCATACAGTACCACTTAAAAATCCAAGTTTGTTCAGTCGTATTACAGCAAATTAAAGTTTGTGAAAAAAATACAAAGAAAGTGTTTTGCTATTGCCCCAACGCCACAAAATTTCTCACATAATTTCACGTCAAAGTGTTAGAAACGAGCCGGCAACTAGTCCACGCGAAAAAGAATGCCTGGAGGCTGAATAGTAATTTTTAAAAGCTGCATTTTACTGTCTGCGAAGACAGAAAAAATTGTCTGCACGGATTCGCTCCGAATATTCCCTCGCCTCGTTCTGCACTACCATGTATTTGCTCCTCCTCCTCTCGTTCTGCCTTGCCATGTTCGTTACCATCACCGTTTCTATCATCATATTTTCTATAGACCAGAGTTGGGTATAAGTGATTACATTTGTAACTGATTAGGCATTTAATTACTTTGTGTGATATAACAATAATTTCTTGGTAACAGTATTACCGTTAATCGTTCTGGGTGATTAGCTTGTTAATTAAAATGCTTCTTTTCTTCTGACTAGTGTAATCAGGATTACTTGTAAATAACGCTTATAATTACTGTCTCTAAATACTTCTATTTCCATCGTGCATTTCGTTAGCAAAATTGACAAATGAATACTCCGATGATGTTCCGACAAATTGAGACATATTTTCGTAGGGTATAGCTTTTTAGACAATATCAACTCATGTGTGTTACAAACATAATGAACATACGTTATCTTACACTTCCAAGGAATCCATGTCTACTGTTGCTACAATAATTTTAAGAAAATACTCACGCATACTATTTAAATAACAGTAGAACCTATATTTTTACGATATGTAAAACATTTATTTCTGTAGAGGCGATTTATAAACCACTCTTAATCTGTTTATCATTTAAAGTGTAATTATTGGTTTGACTTTTTAGGAAAACAGCTACATTACGTTTTCAGTTTTGTTTACACGTTTCAGTAATCACAGAGAAAGTAATCACACAGAAGTACATAATTAAACGTGAAACATGTGTAATCATCATGAGACTCTTAGCTTTTAAAGGCTGTTGGGATAGCTGGCTGTCTTGGTAGCTGAAGTGTTTAGAGCAACTGGGCGTTTACTGGGAGATCCCGATTCGATTCTCAGTTGGGGTGTTACACTCTTTGAACAGTCGAAGCATAATTCGCAATTATTTTCCAAATAATGTATGTTTGTCACTATAATTATATTTTTTTATTTCCAAATACTGATAAAATACACTCTATATCAATAAATAAAACAGTACACTTCTGTTGTATAAACTTCCGAACGTAAAATACACTAATGCTTATTAGTAACGTAATATTTTGCTTCGTGGCTAATGTGATATTGTGCTTGTCAGATCTTATATTCGCTCTATTCATATAAATAAATAGAACAGTAAACAGATCCCCACGCCCATCAAAAATCCCTTTCATTATTTCAAACACATTAGAAAGAAATATGTTTACTTCAAAATTATAAATTATGGCCTTAGCCAAGAAGGTAAGACACGTGATACGCTTTCTGTTGCTGAAAATATACTCGCACAAATCTCGGTGCGTTATAAAACTAGTGGTGCAAAAACAGCACATATTTCTCGCATTATGTCTGGCTATTGCAATTATCGAAAATTCAGAGAATTGAACGAAAATGAGACCTTCGCCATCTTTGTTAACGTTCCGTGGGAAAAAAATTGGAGTCGTTCTTGTGAAAATGTTTTTTCAATAGACTGCATTAACTTCAGACAGAAATTATGGTAAAACTGCTACTTTTTTCCAGTCAATTCAAGTAATTTCCTACATACAGCAACAAGATTAATCCACTTTTTCATTACCAGGCCCCCGCAATACGAGTTTTTCTGTTGAAAAATCGCAGATTTCGGCGAATGTTTTCTCTTCGCTACGTAAGTTCGTAGTAAGTCGTGAAAGAAAATTGTATCTCTCAGCATAGAGATAGGCTGAAAATAATATGTTTTGTCTACTAACATTATAAACGACGTTTTCTGTTGCAAGAAATCGATCATAATCGGGCACTTTACGGCACAAATGATGACGTACTAGATCTTACGGCACGAGTGATTGCGTCAGCGCACATTCAGCCAATCGCACTGCGAGAATCGTGGGGAGGTAGAGGTAAACAGTACAGCCGACCCCAGTTTTCTCGCACAGATGTCAAATATCCCAGACGTCACAAGAAAGTTCTTTCACAAAATTAAGTTTGACTCTCGTATACATTTATAATGTTGTTATCCAAAAAATAGCGTATGCAACTCCTTTATAATGTTGCTTTATTGCATTCGCACAAATTTGAAAAACTCGCTTCTAACGTCGCTAGTGTTCAAAACATGTTCTCGTGCAATAAATCTTAACACAATAAACTAATTGCATAAACTATTATTATCGGTTAATACATTGAAAGGCTACTTTCACAACCCGACGAGGCATCGCTCTTTTCTTCTCAGATACATTTGTTTTATCTATGTTTCCTAGTACATGAGAGATTTTTTATTGTCTATTAAGATTATCTATTCTGCATGGCACACGTCTTCATACACCTTGTGACCACGTCTGGAGACCATCTCCTGGCCCTTTTACTTACTTTAATCGTCTCAAATTGTTTTGCTCTGGTTCACCGCCCAATATTTTAAAATGCCTGCAATCGTATTACTACAGGAAAAGGTGATAATATGAGCCCCCAGTGTTACTTCGACTTTAAAAATTTAATTATTTTAAAAAGAATGATAACTTAAACTTCAACATTTGTGTAAACTATATAAAAATATCCTTTTTTTAACTACTCAGAAAGTAAGTAAAAATCAATAATTCAAAAGAAGTCATTTTTGAAAAAAATTATGTAGTTGTGTTATGAGCCCCCTTGAGATTTTAATAAATACATGAGTTTAGAGAAACTAATTAATATTTACATATACTGTAAATGTTATTTTATTACTAAAACTTGGGGGGAAAATCATTTACAAAAATCACAAAAGTAAATCTCCCTTTTGGCTCCAGCACAATCATAGTGGACCCACATTTCACATCATTCCCAAGACCTATAGTTCTCTACGGTGGTCGCCTGAAAATAGTCCACCACAAAACAAACAAGGAGTTTGGACTTTCAACACCTGCTAGATTTCAAAACAGAGACTTCTCAAATTGATAGAGTAGTCTTCTCATTCCTCATCTTCAAGAAGTTTTCGTTTGAAACCTAGCTCATGTGTGGTTTTGGTTTTCCTACCAGTCTGTTTTACGCTTTTCGCTTTTCCATTTTTAGGAATAGTGTAATAGTGACATTCTTTAATATGTTACATCTTTCTTACCAGCTCCATTGTTTTAGGAGGAAGAACTTTCGCAACTCGAGTTTGCAGGTTTAATTCTGACGGGTAGTAGATTTTCAAATGTTGACCGCATTACACTTGTGGCATATGAAAGATTTCTAGGTAAATTCTCGTCAAAAGTAAATTTTCCAACTTTTTACGATGTAATTAGATCTTATATTGGCTTCGCCAGAGAACGAACCAAGAAACAGAAGATACGATTAAGACCGTTGTTCTGTCGGTCTCTGGCGGCACAAATTGGAGACAAATTGTTGGTAGCGTTGGGCGCTCACGTGTCAACACCCCCTCCACTAAAGCTGATATTTGTGGTGAATCGATAGAAAAGTTTCCAGAACCTGGGTAATGGACAACTTTAACAAATCACTTGGTAACAGAAAATGATTCCAAAATTATTTTATAAATAATTTAGTAATTTCTGATCTCAACTTATTTATCATTACTTTCTCATATACGTAGTATAGAGAAAGTTATACTTTGCTACAAACATCGATCTCGAGATTTTGACAGAAATACATATTTCGGAGGTCCTAGATAAAAAAAAAGACACCGAAAAGTTTTCTTTCTCTTTTCTCGATGCGGAGTAGAGAGAAAGTAATAAAATACTGCTCAAAAAACGACGAATTTTCGGCAGGAAAACTCTTGTTGCCGGGCCCTGGTAACGAAAAGTGGATAAATCCGGTTGCTAAATTTAGAAGAAAAAGTTCTCTAACACGTGGTGTAACCAGAATCTGTTTTGTGTGTCCTTGATAGCGAAAAATCGATTGACGGCAAAACGACCGTCCGTCCATCCGCCTGTCTGACTGAAAACAACGCTAGCTGCTAAAGCGTTCAGCTGACGTTCTCCAAAATTGATCGATCTGATTGATGTCGCAGCCTCTTGAATTTGAAACCGATATTTTAATTTTGGGGAGTTCTTTACATGAAGCCCCTGGGACATTTTGGTGTAAAGGACGTTTAAAAGAATGGCGCAGGTATCGTGTTCGTAAAAACCATGATTTTTCGAAAATGCTAAAGTTTTTCTGCGTCTTCCTGCAACTATAATTATGAAGATGGAGATTTTTTCTCCATTTCTGGCGAACTCTCCTTTTTTCGGAAATTGTATTAAGTTAAAATTTCAAAACTACAAAATGGAAGACAAGTGAGTTTTGCCTTAGACAAAGTCAGTTGTAAAAAATCATTCTTAAAAAAGGTCACGTAAAATTTTTGGGAAAACGAGTAAATTTCGGGTAATTTGTGTCTGAAATTCATGTAATTTCTAAAAAAATAATTTTCTCAAATTCGCACCAATTTATTTTCATAAACCCTCTCTTCATATGTAACAATGGACGGTAAAAAGTCCCATTTTCGGTGAACTCTTCGTATTTTCGAAAATTGCAAAAATTGCGTGTTGGAAATATTGGGTTGAGACAATTACATTTTTAAGCGTCCGCCGGAGTTCCAACATACCGTTCTTGTGACGACAAATATACCGTAGTGACGACAAATTAATTCGGATGTCCTGAGTTCAAGTATTGGTGAGGAAAATAATTTTTCCAGGATGAAAACATTTTTGCATTTTTACGGAGTAGTATAATAAGCGGAACACTAAGAAATAACGCGAGAAAGTGTTATAGTACCACTAGTTTCTCTAAGTATTTTTCCCAAAGAGAGCGATGTATAAAGTGGCGCAGGTCCAGTTTTCAGTAAAACCTCAGAAATTCCGCACATTGAAAAATTTAATAAATCTTAAAATTAAACCTTAGAATTGTTCATATATTCTCAGAAATGGTCCCACATATTTGGATTTTTTAACGATCAAAGAATGCTTAAAAATGGTGAAGATCTCGTTTTTGTTGAACTCTCTGAGTTTTCAATACTTGAAGTCACAAATAATGCCAGAAAATATGAACTGTCATGGCACCACTAGTTTATAATCTTTCACACTTAGTTTGGTCAGGATATTTCAAGCAGTGGTATAGGTTTGAGGAGGAAGGTTAAAACCTTGCTCAAAATTTTTTAACTAAATCAATTTTTCATTTGAAAAGCAATTTAATTTAATGTATTTAAAGTTAAGGAAAAGAGTTATTGGGATTTGATATATTGAAACAGATTATTAAATGATTCTATTATATAAATTAAGTTTCAAGTACACTTTTGTCAGTTTGCAGATAACTTACTGTGTGTCATCATAAAATTTTCATCCAGCATTGTTCTTTCAACTTTCAGAGATCTGACTGAAATCCAAGTTGATCCTAAAGTCCGGTTTTAAATATTGTTGTGGTAAAACAAAATCTTTGTGTTCTGTTACTTTTTGTAATTATTGTTAAAAAGACATAGAACTAAATCCTTCTATTTTCATCAGTAGTTAAATGGATGTCACCCACAGCACTAATGGTGATGTTAACTCCTACCACTTCAATCAAATAAAAAAATGTATCTTTCAGAACTGCCTACAAATATTTCTTTGAATAATCATAATGTATTAGAATGTTATAATTTTAATGTTACAAGTTTGCAATGATTTGTATCATGCCATAATTAAAAAATAATTTATTAAAAAATAATTTAAATTAAATATTTAAAATAGAATTGAACAAATGAGCACGTTTTTGCTTATTTAAAAAAGACTTTGAGATTATAGGGCTGCACCAATGTATCAATAATTAAGTTTAAGAATAATAAAATTGGAATCTAATCAAAATTTATTAATACTAAAGAAGTAGCTCCTTTTAGGTGAAAATTACTTAATTAACTTATTTATAATTTGATTAATATCTAGGTCCGATTTATATTGTCTGATGAATATTGATGACTCTCTTAAAACGGTGTCATCCATAGTGAACCATCCATCCATGTCCCTCCTAAACTTCATAACAGATTACCATCATGAAAATATCTATTCAAGATCAATTAATGATTTAGATTGTAGTATTCAATGAAAACCTAATAAATTATTGTAAGAATTAATAAAGAAATTTGTTTGAGAATGATTATACTTATCATTAAAACATTATTATAACTATAATTTAAACAAATAATTTCCTTATTCTTGCTTTAAATTAACCTTTAAATTAAAGTAAAATTCAGAGGTCTATATGAAATAAAAGTCAATGTTTTGTGGAGAAGTATGGAATTTTGATAATCTTACTATGATATTCATTGTTTCAGCATCATGACCAAATTGTAACCAGCCAAGATGTCGGGCTGTCTATTCGATGTTCCTTCAACATGCAGAATCGCAGTATTGGACATGGAGTTGAATTGCAAGTAGGTGGAGATCTTGGGCCACCAGAAAATGAAGAAAGTGCTTTTGTAAATTCTCCAACAGTTACAATGAGAATTACAAACCGAAGAGGAGAAGATATTCACACAGCTTTAGTTGGTGATGCATTAAGCCTTCGCTTTGATATCAAAGATAAAAATACTCCCTATCAAATATTTGTAAGAGAACTTATTGCACTCGATGGAGTTGATTCCAGTGAAATTCTTCTCATCGACAGTCTTGGCTGTCCAACTGATCCTACTATAATGGGTGCAATATCTGTAGTGGATAATTCTGAAGGGGCTAAAATTTTACAAGCACCTTTCGATGCATTTAAATTTCCAACTTCAGATGTTGTGCAATTTAAAGCTCTGGTAACTCCATGTTTACCAAAATGTGAACCTGTTGTGTGTGATGTGGAAGATTATTATGGAATGGTACGGCAAGTTAATTCCTATGGTAAGCGTCGGAAGCGTGAATTAACTTCAGAAGGAGAAACTCAAGAAGAAATGTTGGTGGTGCAAAGTATTCGCATTGCAGACAAGTTTCAATTTGATAAAACTGCTGAACAAAATGCCAAAGTTTGGTCTGATGTATCAGAAAATATTCATCCAAATGAATCATTTTGTTTAAATGGCCTAAGCCTTGCAGTAGCAACTACAGTGTTTCTTTGTGCTCAGTTACTTTTGGTTGCAACATGGGTTTTACTGTATCAGAAAAAGTGGAAGAACAGTGCTAATGAAACCAAATCCTTCCCAGCAGATTGTCAAAGTCCCTGGCATAGGTTAGAGAGCACAGCACAGTGACGTTAATAGGTTGAACTAGCATTAAATATAGAATGTAGAAATGAGTGAATTAATGTGAAATGTGCAATAGTGTGAATTTTTTGTTTTGTTTTGTTTTGTTTTGTACAAAGCTGTACCTGCTCTATATTGGTGTTGTGTGGGTGAAAGGTTATTTAGGGGCCCATTTTTTGCCTTGCCTTAGTTCATATATACGGATTTATTCATGATCTTGTGCAAATGAGCTTAGTGCAATAATGCTCCTTCAAAAATTAATGTAGAACATTCTTCATGGCATCAGCAAAGTGGCAATGGTGGGCATGGTGGAGGAAGAAGAGGAATGACATCATTCCTGATCTGGGAATGGGCATTTATGGATAACGTGTGAACATTTTTTCCTCATTTACAAATGAGAAGTACTTGAATTATTTTCCTAGATGTACATAGATCTCTGTGTGTTTAAAATTGTGTTTTATACTCAGCATTGTATAGTAAATGTTTTAAATATATTGTAATTTATTTATAATTTACACTGATGTTTTCTTTCAAGAAAAGAGTCTTACCATATTACAAGTAATATTAATTTACAAGTAACAAGTAATATTAATTTTCTTCCTATAAATATTTTACTTCGACAGAGAGTAGTAGTATTGTTTAAGTGACTTGCACATTATGCAATTGTATCACACACGTTTAAACCATGTTTCGTAATGCATTAGCACAAGTGTGACCAGGAACATTCTCTCACTATCCTTCAATTAAGTTAAACAGTGTCCTTTGCATTTAAGAAAGTAATGCATTATATAACCCCATATATATCGCTTATCTATGACCTAAATGAGTAGGAGGGAATTGTTTCTGGAGAATAGACATTTAACTTCATAGCCAATAACAACATTTTACTATTACCACATCAACACACTGAACACAATCACAACACTTGATTATTCATAGTGAAGAGAAAACACATAATTACAAATAGATTTTGCATTTTAAAATGAAAACAATAAAACAAATTTTAAATGGCATAAATTAGCCATTTTTCAACAAAGTAAGGCAACATATACGTAACAAACTGAAAAGTTTGCATCCTTGCGTTATCTAGCAATGAAATACAGATCATTTCTGAGGAAATTTATATAATGTGAAACTAGTGTTCTTTACTGATCATAAAAATTTTGAAATGCATATTTAGGAGACTCTAGAGTGCTATCAGTCACACAGACATATTCTTTTACATGAGAATACTTTCTGATATTCACATAAATCTGTAACGTACCAATTCAATTGTGTGAAAAGAGGAGCTATGGAAATGTAAATATCAAAGGTTATTTTAATGTATGTATTTACTCATAGTTTAGAAGTTCATCTACAAGACATTAAAACATACAAAGTCAATCACAAATAATGAGCACCAACAATCTTTATTTCTGCGCATAATGTTAAATGAATTTCATAGCTCATCCAAAGTAGTTTTTTCAACTAAAACCTGCATTATTGCAAAATTATCACAATGCAAAATTATGTGAATGGCTACATAAAAACACTCAAAACTTCAAAAATGAAGTCCTATAAAGAATACAAAATGGTGTTAGCTTTGCATATTTTGGGTACTCCTAAAAAGCATTAAAAAACTATTGTGATTATTTCTTTATAATCAATAAACACATATTCTGAGATGATATGTGCTCTATTTAAAGCATTCCTTTGAATTACATTATAAGTACATTTGTATGAAAAACTCATTGGTGGTTCTTTGTCCAGTAGTTCGTATAAGGTCAAAAAATTCTTATCAGCTGAGCACTCTGAGTCAGAAGTTTCATACTTTAATTGAAAGACTACACATCATACTAACTGATTTCTCTTAAAAACCATATTATTAACATGTTTTCTAATTTTTATTTATTCCTAATTTGTTTTCACAAATATTTTCTTGTTACTTCCAGAAGGTGATAGTCAACTTTGTTTGCAAAAATACTTTTAAAAAAATAACAATAAAGAGAATAATATTAAAAGAATTCTCATCTGACCAAGTTGCTTGTATGTAGTATGAGGATTACAAAGTGAATTTCACTTTAAATACATCAAAAATACATAAGGGAAATTATTGTGAAAGACTGGTTGAACTCGCGGGCAAATAAAGATCTGAAAGCCAGCCATGAATAGTTACAACTTAATTTGCCTAATCCTTCCCACTAATTTACACACTTCACACTGATATTATAATTATCTGATTCTTTGGAACAAAAGAATATTCATGATGATCTCCATACATTATGCACAATTTACACTAATCTATCTATTCTAACCATTGTTGAAAAATTTGACTCAAGATTCACTATTATTTTAGATTACAATTAATATAATTTTCTCTTATGATATTGTTTCTTTACACATCAATTATTATTCTACAGATACAATGCATACACAATGGGCAATTTTAAAGTAACTAAGGCTCTTTCTGCTTTTTCAAATTTACAACAAAAAAAAAAAAAGATAAAAAAGACAACAATTGTCATAAAATTTTAGATTTATTTTGTACAAATGTGATAGATTTAGTGATCCCATTATTTCCATATAGGTCAATCAGTAGTAAGCCATAATTGAATATTTCAGAGCAAAAATTGCAACAAAATAAAAAATAGTTAATGACTGATCTTTGCAGACTGCATCATTACAAAAAAATTTTAACTTTATTCTTGAAGCACAGTTTTGTAGATAATAAACTAAATATAACAAGAACATTTTACAATCAACTACAGAACTCATAAATACATGGCCATAACCACAGCCTTAATAAATAGGATACATCACTGTCATCATTTTAATGCCATTGAACCATTTTGCAAATTTATTTATAAAAGCTTTGTAGTTTGCAATTTGATCTTTTAACCAAGAACATGATATAAATTTTTGTATTTCAGTATTCCTTTCGAATGATTTTGAGAAAATTTTAACAATAAAATTGGTAGTCGAGGCCCTTCCACATGTAATATTGGACATGTGTCTGCCAATGGCTCACCTTGGCTAAATCATTGAATTTCTTTTAATAATCAATAGTTTTCATTTATCTTCTATAAATTTTGTTTTAACAAGAACATTCTTTACAAATCATATTTGTTAAATGACTTCTTTAATTCTTCACTTTTAAATAATAAACTGTTCCAAGAATTCTATGATAAAACATTGAAAGTATTTTAAAGTTGTGCATTAAATAATTTTAAATATTCTTGAGCCCTACATTCTTTAATGAAAATGGCATTGTTGCACCTTATTCTAAGTTACATTAACAAATAAGTTATTAATTATAATAATCCATGAATTTCTTCAATAGTCTATATTGGATTATTATTTAAAAGTACCAAAATGAAATAGCCATTTTTAATCATTTTCATGAAAGAAAGAATTTAAAAAGCTACACAACCCCTGGATATCTAAATTGACTATATATGGGTAATGATATACATTTTTTCATCATTACTCTGACCTCCACAACCTTCACACCTTCCTAGATGAATAGTTAAAAACATTTATTAACAGATATTCATTCTGGCACAATATATTAGAATTCAAGAAATGTGGAGCATGACACAACTTATTGAATTATAGAACTATATTACGTACAGTATTTTTTAAGCAGTCAATGAGTAACATGCATTTTATAATAAAGTGAATCTGATTCAGTCTGCACTAACACAATATCTCTCATGCTTTCCTCCTTGCTGACCTCAATGGCCTACACAGTAGGAAAATACGATGAATTAAAGCTAATCAACATCTTGGTGACAAGAAAAATTATGAAATATATATGAATACAGTCATGTCACCTTTTATATCACTTATCTTTATCTAAAGCTCAGAAAACACTTACTTTCTCACCCTCCAAAAACAATGTTCTTCACATCTATCCAACTAATTTGAGCCAGACTAGTCTGGACAGAAATACAAACTTACTTGCTATAATGATATACTTACAATTTATGCATTTTTACCTCTGGAGACAAAGTTTTCTGTTCAAAGGAAGAGAACTTATACACATGCTAACACTGTTGTTTATTAGTTTAGGAATAAATTCTTCTTAACTGAACTTGAAAGAAAGAAATATCAAAATATAAGTGGATTTTACATATTCACTCATTTGTGTACCTACATCTAAGGATAGAAGAAAGAATACTGTTTTATAAACACAAACAACACACAAAATATCACTGAATATGCTCCATGAAAGCAAAATTATAGTAATGTATGAATTAAATTTGCCCAGATGTTTCACAGTAAAATGTTATTTCCTTTATTCTCTCTTGAGTGACAAAAATTTGTCCAAGAATGTGTAGTAATTTTATTGATTTCTTATCAAAGACTTTGAAAAGTATTCTGGAAGAATTGCTTACATACAGTGTATTGCTAACTGAAAAGCTTTCCTATTTCAGACCTTTCTTCACTGAGAATTTAGAAAGCTCTTAACAAAAGATGTAGTCATACTTTTATTAAAATCTTCCAGAAGCAAATATAGCAAGAAGTACATGAATAATAAGAAATTTTCTCCTTTACAGGTAGGGATTATTGTCCCTCATCTGTTTCAGCAGTCATCCCAAGCAGAGGAGCCGGATGTGGATTCACATTTCAAAAAATATGTTACAGAAAAATCATGGAGAAGATTTAGCTCGTGTAGATGAAGCTGAAGCTGAAGCAGAAGCTGAAGCTGAAGTTGAAGCTGAAGAAGAGTTTGTAGAGGGAGGATTCTTCTTACGCCTATCCTTATTCCTTCCACGTTTTCTTCTCCCATTGTTTCCAGCATTGTTGGCTTTGTGACCATTGTTCCCAACAGCTGCTCTGTTAGTAGGGAATGCATCTCCCCCAATAACAGATGTTGAGACAAGCTTTGGATCTGAACAATTCAACTTCTTGAACATTCGGACAGCTCTTTTGAAAGGCTGTGAAAATACACCACAATGAGTCATTTTCAATATTAATCCAAGGCAATATAGTTCATAAATTCAAGATGGAAAATCATAACTGTGTATGATCAAAAAGAAAGAATATTAGGTTTCATGAAATTGATTGTAACCGTGTTCAATGTAAAACAATAGAGGGACCAACTATGTTTTTGACCTGCCTCATACAGTTTTCATTCGATTTTTGAAATGTATTTTTGGGTGGTTGTAAAAGAGATTGAGTCTGACTTGTCTGCATTTTTTGGGGTATATTTGCATGCTATTCAACATTTTTGTATTTTTGGCACATTTTTAGTTGTTTCTGCTTGTAATTGAGCTTGAATCGGCCACATTTTAAGGGTAGATCCAAAAGTTTCTTCACATTTTAGCCTTGAAGTACTACACCGTACAGTTTATTACAATTTCCAATTTTTTTACAGTTTTTGGAAAGTTTAAGAATTTGCACATATTTCATTCCATATTTTTATGTAATACATTGAATATGATTTACAAAGTTTGAAAAAGGACATCTCAAAACACTCTCAATTAAACAAGTCTGTTACTCGGGGGTGAACTGAAATTAAGTCGATTCTATACTCACAAATTTCAAAAATAAAATGTAAATAATCAATTATCTGTTACATTCAAAATACTCGCACTTACATACACTCAAAATGTGCAAATATTTTGCAATTTTTGGCAATTATCTGCAATTTTTTGCAAAACATTAAAAAGTAATTCATAAATAATAAATAGAAATTAATCTTATTTATTGAAAAATAACTAGTCACTATAACTGGAGTCGACTTTGGACCATCATTTGCAGTCATGTTAAGGTAATTATTTTCTCAATTGAATTTTTTTTTTAATGCAATGTAAATTACAAATGAGTACATTAAAATAGCAATTGCATCAAATTTAATTTGCATATAGTTCTTTTATATCTTACCTTAGAACGTTTCCCCCATGGCATAATGAAACTAGGAACCAGTTTTGAATCTTGATTGCGGCCCATAATCAAATACACTTCTCTGCTGTTTCGGGTCATTTCTTCACAGCATGCATCAGATGGTTCTAGAAGTAAAACTGGGCGTCGGAGCTGTTGAGTAATTTCACTTCCTCCTTTAAGTACTTTAGCCTTTTTGCATGTCAACTTTGTTTTTCGAGCTTGGCGAATTTTTGTTTTTACAGCTACAACAGGAATGTTTTAGAAATAGACACACAGAGACACATTTAATGAAGATGATAATGTAACTCAGGGTAGATACTTACCAAAATCAGCTCTACAGAAGTTATCCAAAATATTTTCATAAGTATCAACTTGGTTACAGACTCGACAGCCACCTTCTGAAAATAAAATTCAAAATACAAATTACTATTTCACCTACACTACAATGGGTATGCTAAAATCAATCATTTATATTAACCTATAGTATTGCTTCTATGAGAAATAATAAGATGTATAAAATGAAGACATAAAATATAATAATATGACCCTACTAGCCAATCAGATGGCCAATATCGCTAAGGCAGTAGTGCTAGAACGGACTCTGACCAGGAGATTGTGGGTTTGAGTCCCACCTTGGGCATGGGTGTATTTGTCTTTGTCTGTATGTGTGTCATCCTCTCATCCCTCATTATCATCATCATTTCATCTTCCATATCCCTAGGTCTGGGATATGGCTACTTTTATCGGATCCAGCTAAATGCTGATACCCTGATAAAAACGTTACAAGCATCTGCTACCAAGATAGTGTTTCTGAGACCCCATAAATAAGATGTATGCACACACGCATGGTCCAATTTGCGAGCAAAAACAAAAACCAAAAAAAATAGTTTTACCAAACCAATAGGTTTAATACAAATATCAGAGCAATAAAATGTCCATGATAAAAGCAGAGCACTATTATAATTTATACTATTAATTATTGTTAATAGTTATGTAAATAATTATGAGTAATAGTAGTACTTCTCAAAGGAACAAAGAATATTCTAAATTATAAAAAATGTTGATTTATACAATCATGGGCCAGAATTTCAATTTCATTTGTTCTTAATTTCAGATGTACATAACCAGCTGTAAAAGAATAAATGAGTGAAAGAAGGAGATGGTAGGATTGGGGAAACAAGACATTCAGCGATGAACATGCTTTACTGCTTACAAATCTAACATGTTTGACTGTTATAATTGGTGTTCCGAAGGTCCAGTCTGACAGGTGAGTCTCGGGTTGACCACAGAAGGCTCTAAGTCTAACAAGAAGTGATAAACTTCCAAGTTACATCTTAAGTTAAAGAAAGCTTTGTTTTACTTCGTTTGCTAATGGATTTTCATGCACATGTTTTTACAGGAACAAGATACCTGTATTCAATAATATTTATAGAGTTTACAAGACATTCTGAATGAATTAGAAAAAAATTTAATTTACATATTTTTAGATATTTCACGTATTACTGAATTTTTCTTACATATTTTGTAACAATATAATAAATTTACATGTCGAAACAGATAATTTCAGATGCATGTTTAAAATATGTTACGGAATCATCTTTCTTGCAAAGCACTGTTATCAAACTTACCCCCCCCCGCTACTTGGGAACTGCTTACTAGAAGACAAGGATGATTGACTGATTGGTTGTTTAGTGATTCCGGGGCACATCATCTACCAATGTATCTAGTCCCGTAAGTGTAGTGCGTGTTTTTGCTCGGGAGGTGAGATCGCGCACAGAAGAGAAAGGTGAACAAAGAAGAGGAAGGAGATATCGCGCGCGGTCCGTGGCCCGTTTGTTAGGGTACTGCACCGGCATTCGCCTGGTATTGATCGGAGAAACCACGGAAAACTACCGATCAGAGCAGCCGGCCGCTAGAATTCTCCTTCAGCCAAGGATGAGTGGGTGTTTGTGAAGCAGAAGTAAATTTAATCACATACTTGCTCTTGTTCAATCAGCACATTCATAACTCCATCGACAACTGACAAATATTTCGTACAGATCATTTTCTTACTGCGAAACTGGATTTGGAGGGGGAAATGTTCCATCCCCCCCCCCCCGGATCCGTCGCTATCTACACGGCAGAGGCGTATCTATGGTAGTATGGTAGACGTGGCACGTGCCATGGGAGCCACTCATAATGTGCACTGTTCAGAGTATATGCGCTAAAACAAACAAATAGCCTGATTCGAAGAATCCTGACAAGGATGAAAATTAAGAATGGGCACCTGTTAGTATACCTAGATTCACCTCTGCTACACGCAGTGACGGATCCAGAGGAGGGTGGGGCATGGGGGCCAACCATTAGATCCGCAAAAGGTCTAAAGGTTTCGTTTGTTTCCTTCCTTTGATAAACAAAATTGATTTAAATATTTATGTTAGAAATATGAAATAAAATAAAAAATAATATTGTACAATACCATGTATACACTACAGAAATAATGTACAATATAATAACAAATATGTTTATTATTTAACAAAAATCAATGATCCCTCCCACACATACACACACAAATGATCAGCTGGATACGCCCGTAGCTATACGGTATTCCTATTCACTGGAACATCGCCTCCTCGTAAACAACATTGCATATACTACGAACGAATTTTATATTTCGAATAAGACTTGTTTGTGATGAAGACTAGTGTACAATTACTTCTGTAGATATTGAACGTTCTTTCAGTCGCTCCGATTCCATGGTAAGATCTGATCGGCGACGTTCTGTGCTTGGAAAATGCTTGTGCAAAGAAATTTTGAACACTAGAAAGAGTTTTTACTTTATATACTTTCTATTTTTCTTAGATATTTTGAATAAATAAATACATACATATGTACACATTTTGCTTTTCTTATTACAATAAATTCTGATCCCTACTTAAGATACTAGAATAGTGAAGTTAAGAAGGTGAAGTGATACGAACATGTAGACAGGACCTGATATACCTATAAATAAAATAAAAAGTTGCTTAAGTGGCAAGAAGCAAAATAAGCATCCGAGGGGCGGGGGAGGACGGATCACACCAGAGAAAAAAATTAAAAAATATTCGAAAAAAGAAATATTTCTATCGATTTAAACAAATAGTTTATTGTAGTAAAAACACTTTTTTCCGTTATATTTACGCAAAAGTTATGCTATTGTAATTATCCCTTTTTTCTGGAAGTGTCTTCTCCGGAGGGAGCTTCCACATTATTTTGTACTTAGAGGCCTCTTAGTACCGAAATCCGACTCAACATGTAGCCTCAGAAAAATGGTAGTTGACCATCCTGCAACCGGAAAGGAAAGCTTTACATTTACGAATTGCCCTTCCTATTCCTCTTTAGTACATCTATCGAAAAAAATAACTTTTGGAATGCTTGGAGTGTCCCAGCAAACAAAGAACAGGAGTGACTCAAAGTCAACACAAAATAAATAGAATACTATCAGCATCACTATCATTACCACCACCACCAACAACAACAACAACAACAACGAAAACAAAGAAAAGATCTGCAATATTTCAAGAGTGAACGAGAATAAGATATTGTTTATTTTAGATTTAAAATATTTGAAATGATAGTTAAGTTTAAATGAAAATTAGTATATTACTACTCTCTCAAATAAAAATTATCAAAATATTGAAACTCATGTGAACTACTAAGCCAGTTTTGACAAGGCATCATAAACCGGCTTTTGCCAAGTACGCTGTTTCTTAACCCCTTATTAGGATTTTTTTAGCCAACCTTGCTTTGGTCTTGCAGCACCGATTCAAAGCGTATACGCATTGACCTTCATGATTTTATGTCTAGCTTATCTCTTCCTTTTCAACAGACATGCAGCACTCACCAGAAGTTCACAAAATATGATGTGTAAACCAAAATATTCTTATACATTCTATACAAATTTGAAGGAAACGAGAACAAAGTGTGAATGTGATTAGCTACGTTCATCGTGCAAGATATATATTTTCTCCGTTATCCGTTACCGTGAATCGCTGTCGTCTGTGTTGTGTTGAAGTTCATGCGTTACAAGCTTTTGTGTTGCAGCTACCTCCGCTATGGGGTAGCCAGTATTTATATCAAGAGGGAGCGAAAGAGAAATAAGAATATTATTAATAAAGTAAAAGTGACATAAAACCATAATTAATAAGATAATTAAATAAATAACAATACATTTAAATTAATAATATGGGATAAATAATGAAAAATTGATACCCTTTAAATTAACTTTTTCTAACAATCAAAATTATCATTAATATGAAATCGATGAAATATATTTTTATTTTCTTACGATGAATCATCAAGAAGTTGACATGCCAGGAAACACGAAATAATCAGTCGTTGAGGATGGTGTGGGTCTGACGCACTCCTGCTACAACTTCTTTCATTTTTTAGTTGGTACTATCTCTCATTGTATTAGATGATGAAATTGAACTAAGACTAAGATTAGTGATTTTGTTCACGTGCTGGATTCATACCACAAAGGAAGTTAAAAGTATTTTAGTGTTTGGTGCGAAATATGTGTGTTTATTTGTTGTTGTTTTTTCTGAAAGGATAAAGGTGTGTATAATATGAAATAATAGTATAAAAGATGAGATATTTAATGGCATTACGTAATGAGAAAGCATTACAATATAACCCTGCACGAGTTTGTCAAAAAAGAATGTAATAAGCGTAGTAGGGAAGTTTGACGAACGAATTCGGTTTGACACAGTACGTTGCCAGGATTGACTGGTTAATGTTCCGGGACGCGCCAACGGCTATGGTCATTAATCCTGTATGTTTTTATGACGAAAGGAGGCGGTATTCTTCCCCCGCTGGGTGGTGAGATCCGAAGCCGAACTACACGTTGGCTTGAGGGGTTTTCCGCATCCGGGTATCTCTCACCCGGCCCCGCCCAGCCGGAATAAGCTCTAAGCTGCCGACTGGTCTCCCGTCAAGTGTGGTTGTATAGTCTGCACCACTTCAATAAAGCATCACTATTGCACAAAGTAACATTTACCGTACTTTACAATGGATACATCCCAGAGACATTATTATTACAAGAGCACATTTTTATAAACTTTTGTCAGTTCCAGTATCATAAGCAATCTATCGACAAAATTGAAGCTACATGAATGCACCTACGTTCGAGATGATTTCTTGTTCTCGTGCACGGTAGCTTTTATGTAGGCCACGGCAATCCGGAACCAGATTCCTACCGGTCTTACAACGCTCTCGCTCAACAAACTCAAGACTCGAGTCACATAGCCAACAACGAAAATGGAATACGGGAGCGCAGTTTGATCCACTAAAGAACAAGGACTATAGAAACTCATGCGAAGAAGATTGGCTGTTGAGTATCCTGCCGTTAATGAACACTGATAAAATGCATGAAATAGCA